TGGTGTTCTCTTACTTACCATATCATTGAATTATCAATATCCATTGTCTTGTAAAGTTAAAGTTATTAACGAGAAACTCATTTGTTCAATCATATTATAAATATGTCTCCCCTCACACGCAACCTTCACTCTTTTCTATTTACATCTTAACATTTAACTCGAGATCTTCAAAGAAGAGACGGATAATGTCTTATATCCTATATTGTGAAACTTTACATAACTCTCCAAACTATTTGATAAGTAGGCGTATCTTGTGGAGGTGTGTAGATTGCAATATTCTTCTAGTGGAGAGATTACGAAAGAAAAAAATTGATGGACAAATGATATATCATTATGTGAACACACTCAATATCCCAACAAAAACATCTTCGTATGCCTAAGGAATTTTACTATAACCTTATCACTCTGGTCCCTCTTAGAATAGGAACCATATAGCGGTGATGTGCTTAAATTTAAATATAGACTTGTCTATTCTAGCTACATGTCGTGTATTGATGCAGAGTGACTTAAAGCGTGTTTGGATGGGCTTATAGCTTATAACATATATGCCAAACATAGATTATTATGACTTAGATTTTAAGCAAGTGCTTCAAAACATTTTTAATCTTTATCCAAACACACTATAGTTTGAAGTACTATTACACTTCTAAGGATTATAATAGAGCAATAACTAAAAACAAAATTGCATATATCTGAATTGAGAGAATTATTTAGGAATTTTAAAATGCCAAATGACCCCATTGAGCCTCTCCTCATTCGACATAATAACCTATTCTAAAGAAATGTCATGTATCGACTTATAATATAGACTTCTCACATTCAAAAGAAAAGCCAGTTTTCTCGTCCATTCAGCCTTTTGTTTGTTTATTATTTTAATAATGGTGATGTTTGGCCAGTCTTGACTATTTCTTCTATACCTTTTATCTCCTACCAACACAAAGTTCAAGTAGCTCTACTATCAAAGCTTAATCAAATGCATAAGGAGATTTTAGATTCATGATTTTAAGTTTAAGAGCTCTAATTTTATTTTATTTTATTTTTTATGACAAGGAAAACCCGCAGCCACTACCCTTTGGGTGCTCACATGGTAAAACCCCCGCTCTTATGCAATAGCTCGCAAACCACATAGGAGAGGTAACCCACACTAGGCAAGCCCGGTGCGACGAACTCGACCCAAAAGGCAAACCTCTTGCTTTCGCTAAAAGATCAAATAAGATGAAGGATTTTCCTTTTTTTTCATACTACGACATTAACTAAGCTAAGAGAAGGATTTAGGACTGACACAGAGACTGAGTCAAGCACTATAGCACAAAGATTATCATTCGCTTGCCTCGAAGATTCTGGCAGGGGGTTTCGAACTTGAGACCTCCAACATGGAAGTCCCAAGCCCAAACCACTGGCCACCCCGAAGGGTTAAGAGCTCTAAATTATAGCTATATTTGTTTATTGGATTTCAATAAATTATTTATACATATTAAGTGAATTTTCTACTAAACAAATAGGGTTTTGGATAAAAACTATTGAATTTCACCTCAGTCAAATAAGAAGAAACCACCTAGTATCTCATAGTTTTTATCCACTTGATTGACCGCTAAGACACATCATTGTACTGGTTCATTCAGTCCTTTGAAAGCATCATTTGTTGTTTGGCGGTAAGGAGAAAATGAAATGTCTCAACATCATAAAACCTACCATGTGACCCTGCTTGAAGCTTGGTATCAACATCATAAGCAAATAAATACAGAAACTGACGTACTGCTAATGTCTACCCAAAAGATATAAATGAGAAAAATGACAAAGCAGACATGCATTCTAAAATTAAAAAAAGAGCACAACTATTATTAAGTCTTCTATTCTGGTGACAGGTTATGATAATTTTCATGCTTTCAGTCCTTCACATGTGGTGAGGCCCAAAAGTTGCCTTTAAAATTTGTCTGTATTGGTTTTCCAACATTCAAGAGAAATAAATCATCACATCCCATGCCTATGTTAAGAAATTAGTTAGAAACAAAACTAAAAACATAGGTAGTAAAACAAATGAAGATTCAGGGTCGAGAATATGTAACAACCCAATCTACTAGTGATACTATTTTAGAACCCGACATGGTTTTAAAACTCATTACTAGAGTTTAAAACGTGTTTGCTTATATACCCAACATCTCTTTATGTCGATGTAAAAAGGGGAATATTGGTCAAGAATGGCTGATCATTGGGGTGGGCTCTGTTATGAATGAAGAATGGACAACATAACACTCAGCTGACTGAAGGCAAAGGACCATCAAAGTTAATAATAACACAAGAAACAAATAGCATTTTCTATGTACATCCCTAGGGACAAGTGACAACAAAATACTTGAATTAGCATGTGAAGCCATGTTACTCTTGCTTTCAAGTTGAAACAAAACGGAGGCTGCTAATACATCCAAGTTCTCAATTTCTACGGTAATCATAAACTTAATTTGTCCTGTGTTGTACAATTTGGAAATAACGAACATCAGAACATGTGAATTCTTTTGCCTAATTTCTACTGAATTTTAAGGGAGCCACACAAATTACTAGTTTAAAGAAATTGCGCAGTGATCTCAAATGAACAATTGCAACTAGACAGCCGATTATAGAGGAATACATAAATTGAACATAGTAAAATAAGAAGTTGAAAATTTTCATTGAAATTTCCATGTCCCCACCCCCACCCCTATTTGAACCTCAAGGAAATCTTAATTGATATGAGAATGCGCTCTAGAAACCAAACCTATACAAGGGGCTTGAGCTTGAAAACCAATCTCAGTCAAATTACTAATTGAAAGAAAATATTATGGCTTAAACATGTGGCAGCCCTTCCTTTGTTATTTCCTGAGTGAAGTGATTCACACAAAGCCCCCTTCAACAAGAAAAGGTATAAATATGAAAAATTCTACACCATTTGGATTAGAGAATTTATGGAGGAATTGGGTTCTAAATCCCTAGAAACAAATCACTCATTCTTGAGTTGAAACATGCTCAGAAACGGCAATTCCAAGCATCACACCTCTGCCACTAAAATCCTTATGCATGAAAATAGTAATCAATTTGGTTGTTATCGTCTAAAGTTGAAACTCTGTTATGAATTTTGACCACATTCTTCAACTGGAACATGTTCAAAAGCAACTACTCCAAACATCACCTCTGCCACTAAGATCCTAATGCATGAGAATAATGAATTTGGTTGTTATAGTTTGACTCTATTATGGATTTTGACCACATTCTCTTGCATTAATTTGGTTGTTATAATTTGACTCTATTACAGATTTTGACCACATTCTCCATAAGACGCTCTTATTTCTTCCTTTCTCCAAGCTTTGGTTATGGAAAAAAGAACCAAGCAGGTCCAAACACTAGCCCACCAAATTATTGCTATAATAATGATTTTTTTTGTAGATATGCTCAAATTAGTCAATAATATAACGTTCCAAAATGACTGTCGCGCTCTAACTATTGCTTCAAGCTTGAAGCCTTGTGGAACAACAATGATATAGTGGGTCTTGTATAATATTTCGTAGGGATGCTTATTTTCACTAGCTAATCATATATTTAATAGTGCATTCATGCCGCCAAAACTGAAAAGGTACTTGAGAGAGGGTACTGCTATTGCTAATTAGTTTACCTTCTTCTATATAGGACAAATACCTTACCAGACCAGCAACAAAAAGATTCTAAGGATCAACTTGAGTCAAGGTTAACTGGTTAAATACCAGGACAGAGTACAATATGGGAGGAAAAGGTCTAGTAGGCTTCCATTCATTACCAGATAAAAAAGAGGCAACACTCAACAGCTAAAGATGTGTTCTACCATTAATGCTAAAGAATGTCAAATGGCTGTCATAACAAAAATCAACTTCAACCAGAAAATATATATATGCATGCTTTATTCAACACCATTAGTAAGAAAAATAGAAGAAGAGAATTTATCACATCTAGGCTTCTCTTTGCAAATAGGATGGTGCAACGTTAAATGAAGCGTGTCATAGAAAAATAGTAGTCAAAAGGACTTATCCAAGTGCATGGTATCGCATATAAAACCAAAAGAAACAACTAACTGCAAGTAGGGGTGTTCACGGGTTGAATAAAAATCGATCCAAACCAAAAAACCAAATCAAACCGATAAAATAATACCAATTTTATTTGGGTTTGGTTTGGTTTGGTTTTAAATTTTTTGGAAACCAATAGTATTTGGTTTGGTTATGGTTTTATTCGAAAAAAACCAAAAAAATAACCGAACCGAACCGATGAATTATATACATATATTTATTAATATACATACTTAATATATTGTTTAATATAAACAATTTTAAAGATCTTATACATATTTTCATTAAAATTTCTTTATAATTTACTTATTGAAAGCAAAAATGCCTAAGATGAAACATTTATCTTATTGATTTCATGTATGAGTGTCTATGACATTCTTTGTGGAACTGAAAATGTTATTGTCTCTTCCTTCTAGGCCTAGTGAATTTTAAAGCTTTACTGATAATAACTTTAGTGATCGAAAGTTCATTAATTTAAGTCATTCTAACTATTTTTCGTTTGAATGGATTGTTGTCACTTTTTTCACATTTTAAATGAATTGTTTCTTTATTTTTGTGTATGGTTAATAACCAAATAACCGAACCAAACCAAACCAAATCGATAATCACCAAACCGATAAATGTATATTATACTTGGTTTGATTTGGTTTTGATAATTTTAAAACCGATTAAGTTGGTTTGGTTTTGGTTTTGACCAATAACCGATTCAAACCAACCCGTGAACACCCCTAACTGCAAGTACATGTGCTAGAGTTCACACAGTAACCCCACACAGATACCAGAAACAACAAGAGCATAGCTAATGAGACATGAACTATGGAAAGACCATGTTAAAATCGAGAAGAGCTGCCACATAACTACTGATGTGAAGAGTAGCACCAACCAAAAAAGTAGAAATTATTAAAACATGAAAAGCAATAATGTGATGAGCATACCTGTGCGTAAAACCTGCCACTGAGGGAGCAAATGTACCAATTTAAGTCTCATGTAACATATCCGGAAAGCAAACCAGTAAGACTTCAGTCAGGAAATTTTCTTCCAATTTTTTTGACAAATAGTTTAACCATAAATCCTGGTAACATTCTTTTTTACAGAGGAGCCAGAATAACACAACTATCCTAGATGTTACAGAAAAATATCCTGAGACGTTATCCAGGACATAGTACAGCCTGTACCTCACAGCATATGGAGGAGATAGAAATGAAAGGAGGGGCCGGGGGGTAGTGAAAGGGTCAGGTCGAGATTTTAACAAGATATGGATGGAGAAAAGAAAATGAACTTCCACTAACTGAGCTAGTCGACATGTAAAAAGAACATGTAAATGTGACCGACTAATCATGTACATACTCTAATCAGAATCCAGTTTGAATGTCTGGGGTAGCTCATCCATCACACTCAACTGCCTCCTCAGCTTAACAATGTGAGCTTGCACCTGTCAGACCAATTTCCAATCAATTAGCTAATAGTAAACTACTAATACTACAAATGTGGAAATTGAGTCTGTAAGCTCAAAGCGCATGGCTTAGAGGAGACTAAATGAGAAGATAGACAAATAAATAATCAAGGTAAGAAGGCTGGTGTGGCCAGCTGTAAACTTGTTCACAAAATATCTAATTTGCTTCAAAATGCAGCCTTTAGATATACATATTTGCATTTTGAGGTGCTTAACACAGGTGTTGTTTGAAATGTTACGAGTTCATCAATCAGGGATTTGAATCACTTGCACAATGTAGCTGATGCATGAAGCTTTGAACCATAGTTCGTTACCATGGTGAAATTGGGTTATTTTTATTATCCAGCGATGTGCTTCTCTCTTCTTTTTTCTAGTGAATGTATTCATCTACTTCTCTGATTAAGAAAAAAAAAAGAACTAGGTCTCTTAAGAGCCGAAGGCATTCATATGCTTGAAGTTCCCTTTAAAACTCTAATGAAGTAGATAACTGACGGTCTAAAGGAGAAAAAAGGCACTCTCCAGGCTAGACAAGACAGTTTATCCAGGTCAGATGAAAATCGAGAATTCAATCCTAGCACTGAAAGATACAAGTAAAGAATTAATGATTGCATAGAGAAATTAAAGCTCAAGGAAAAATGTTGAAACATAAGTCTCATTCACCCAACATGTTTCGAGAATACACTTCTGCTCTACATTTCATCCAAAAATGAAAAAGGTAAATATAAACTTAATATAGAGATGAAAATGAACATTTAAGCTGTATTAACATAATTTATGTCAGAAATGTTTTTATATAACCATGGAATCCGGGCCAACTTGTGTGCACTTCAACTAATCCCATGGTTACCTGCTATCTCCCACCAACACATGGTAACTCTGTCCACAAAGGCTTGGACAAATGGAAGAAATCACCTAGTGTGTTTGCCTGTGCTGGGATTTGAACCTAAGATCTCATGGTTCTTAACCCACTTTATTGGCCACTAGGCAACACCCTTTTGTCACCAATATAATTCCATCAGCTTAAATAACTATAGGTCGCTACTCAGCTTTATATATAAGAAATTACGCATCCAGCTTTATCTCAAGGGAGGTACAGACACACGTGATTTCTAGTATCTATGAGCATGAATGTTTTTTACACAAAGAAGTTTAGATGCACTGAGCATGTCTGCATATGTGTGTGTGTGAGCGGGAGAGAGAGAGTTAAGTTAAGCTCACCCTCTGACGAGCTGCTGTGAGTTTTAAGAGTTCATCAGCCTCAGAGAAATTGATGAACCACTGACTAAGAGGATGGTTTTTTGTATCACCTCTCTTCAAGGCATGCAGGTCCTCAATTGGTGCTAAGAAACATAAAGTAGAAAATTACAAACTGAAAGGACCAAGTTATTCCAGCAGCAAATCCAAAAGATCTCAGCAAAGAAGATATTTACCAGGAGGCAACTTAAATGTTGCAGGAAGCCGTGGCACGACTACTGCAGGATGGTTCTGAATACGAGAAAAGAAATCCTCAGGAGGATCCGGGAATACAATCTCATTGTAAGTTTCCACAACAATAGGTTTCTTTGTTGACTGGGGGCCAGGCTCATTCTCTGCGTATAACTTCAAATGATGATACCTGGGGAAACAAGATCACTGGAAGTATATCCACGCTGCCAGGCAAAGTTTAAAGAGAAAAAGAAGCCAATTCACAAAGTAAAGAACTTACAAATCCAACTTCTTTTCACCAACGTCATCGTGGAAGAGAAGGGATATTGCAATTTCAAACTCGCCCCAACCACATTCTGACAACTCAAAGGGCGGTGATTCTACCACTCTAACAGGATTATTAAAGCTTGGATGCAGTTGAAAAACAACTTTCTTGATAACGCCGCTAAGATCCTCATTTGTTGCCCCACGAACATATACTGACCACCTATGTGACTGAGTTCTGATTGACAACCCCATATATTATAATTGTATCAAGAAGCATAATACTCTGAGCAAATAAATGCACTAAAAAGAATACCCACGCCCACTTACTCAGTGGCTTTCTTGCCTAGCCAAAATGCAATTGTTCCAAAGACTATTGGGACATAAATTTCAACATCTTTCAGCCTCTTGCATGAAGTCTGTGTAATACCAGAAATTAGTCAAATTATATCTCAAGCTATGAAAGAAGTTACGTAACGGAAAAAACTGGTCAATGCGCAAGTCTCAAATATTTCCAGAAATAGACATAAATAACACTGCAAACTGATCAAACAGAATAATTCATCAAATACATAAATATAAGCAGCATGATGAAATATTACACTCTAGGATCCATGTAAAATCGAATCGTGCAGGTAATATGAAAACTGAAGAACTACTACCACTATATTATCAAAAACAGGGCCAATAACCTCCATTTTTATTAATATCCTAACATGAAACATACTTGAACCAATATCCGCACAAACATAGGAGTTAAAAGCATACGATACACCAAAAAATAGAAAAATAGTGAGAAGTACTAGTCATAAAATTATCAGATAACAATAACGTGCCTTTTTTTCAAAATCTTCGGAAGGGTTAGCAATTTTGGTGAGTTGTAGCCTTGGATCAGCGTCATTTCCACCAAGGTCGCTGTCATTCGGCGTCATGGAAGGCGAGTTTAGAGGCATTTTACATGCAAAACGAACCTAGTTATGGAAATTGAGGTTGTTTTGACTAGTAATTTGAAGAAATTGGGAATTAGGGTTTTGAAATTGAAGAGAAAAGGGGGATTTTAGAGGGAAGAGGGGAAATCTGATGCGTTTGGTGGGAATTAGGAAGGCATGGAGTTTTTGGGTATTAAGTACTGCGTATTTGCATGAAACAAAAGAATGTTCCAATTCTGGTTTTCGCCTCCCTCCAAACTAACCCGCCAAATATCAAGGATATCTCTGTTTTCTTTTGAGGAAAGTTATTATATTAGCAAACATATGTACTTTATTTATTTGAAATTTAAAATAGTGAGAGTTTAAAAAAGTTGCCTTAAATAGCAAGAGTTTGAGTTTTATCTGCTTTATTTTGTATTTAATTGTTTGGAGCTATATTGACTTGATATGTATCATTTTATCAACTCATTGTGATACAAAATGATACACCAAACTATTACTACGTTTTGTAATTAGTCAAATTATTGATATGATTGATAATTAACTTTCTCCTATTAATAAGGAAATTAAGATTGTTTCGCTAATTTTGATTAGCCATTTTACTATTCAACTCATCCTCCTTTCTAGCAAAAGATGGAATTATTATTATTTAAAAAGAAAAAAAATGCTTTTAAACTGGTACATTATATACAACTTTTTAGAAGGTTCTATGCGTATGATATTCTTGCAATTACTACAAGGCCAAAATGACAAATGTTGAGTAAAAGATTTAATTATACGATATTTGTGAATATATTGAAGTGTTATCGATATGATATTTGATAGTTTGACTCATTCTTTTCTATGTTAGTATATATTGTAATCATCAAAGAAGAGATTTGAGAGTTTAAGATAACCAAACACCTATTTAGTATAATGTCTAAAATATACATGCTTATCCAAATAATCAGAGGTGCATCTTTAGCCAAGAACGAGTTAAGGATTACAATTCGAAGATCAAGTCAAAGACTGCTAGACATCTTGCAAAGCAACTCTCACTGAACAAGAATGTTGAAATAGTTCAAGAAAAGAATTGTGGTGTAATCAAATTGGTTTATGAGAAAAAAAAAAATATATGCTTACTTGATATGTTCTAAGGGTATATAGTACTAGAGTAATAATGAAAAATAATAGTAACTTTTAAGGTACTGCAAAATTATTTAAAAAAATAAAGCAATTAAAACTTAATGAGTTGGATAAATTGAATTATAACCCAAGTCTCAATCAATTTCAACCCGAGTAACTTTTGAATGGATCAATAGCCCACACCCATTTATTAACTCAAACTATCTTGATCTGTTCAAATTCAGCTCAACCCGCCCATTTGCGACCTATAAATTGAACTTTGGTACATCACGAATTTAGGTACTAGAGAGCAAGGCATTATTCTTAGACCCATGCATACTTGTAAAACAAAAACCAATGCCACTTGTCATTTATCGAAAAAGAACAAATATCATTATATCAATACCATTGTGTGACTGCCATCCTCAATAAATTGAAAAGGTGAAGAACAGAAGATATACAAGGCACGACACCGAAGAGGGTGCAGTCTAGTTTTTCCATTAGATTTGAGAATAAATATGCATTTTATAAATGTGACAGTACAAGACAACAAGGGGTACAAAGATTCCACTCAAAGTTGCATTTACTGGATACAAGGTTTTGCAGAATGCAGTTGCTGCATTCACCTTTTATGGAGCAGGTGACAATGCCACAAGAAACAAATGGTCTAAACACACTGAACTAAATATTTGAAGCACTTAGCGCCATAACTTTGCACTGTTCATTCATGGCCAAAAGCTGTGCCTCTTTCTTATCGAGTAGAGCAGCCAACCTCACATTTTCTTCCATCAGTTTTTGTACTTCGGCCTCTTTCTGCGTCTTCTCACTCTCCAGTTGTGTTGTCTTGGCGACCAGCCTGGTTTCACATAAAACAAACTCAGCACACAATTTATCCAGATGATGAAAAATCAGTTCATCAAATTATTACAGCTTTAACATTTTGTGCAAATTGGGATATAAGAAATTTTTAGCCTGAGCACAGCAGAAAGTAAGGAGCACAAAATTTAAAGCTTATATTAGCTCAAATAAATCTACAAGGACAAGTGACATTCTCTCAATCCAATCAGATGAAACTTCATCAAAGTTCGCACTTTCTTTTTGTTCTGTACTACTATGTTACTTGGTCATACAACTACCAACGACTTTAAGATGCTAATTGGGTTGAGCAAGAGAGTAATGAAATGGAGGATATTGGAATTGAAGCTATCATTTCAAATATATAACATCAAGTTCTAATCTCAATTAATTATCAATTAGAAAAAGATTATTCAACTTCATTCTCAAAAAGAAAAGAACAAATTTTATGCCATCAGATAGAGAATACAACTTTTTCTTTTAATAAAAGTTTGAGAGAGCTGGGTTTTAAAATTGATGAACTTGACACTCATTATTGCCTTATATTGGATTAAGGTGTTACAAACTAGCAGTAAAACCTTCCGAGTTTATTCTCAATTATTTCATCCTGGTATCATCGAGTTTTTATTTATACTTTGAGATTCTTTAGTTTCTGGACTGATATGCTTTTACACTCCATGACAGAATAACCAGGGCTCGTATACAAAAATAAAAATAAAAATTGAGGACTTCAAATTTTACCCTGTAAGTATATGAAAAATAGAGAAATTCTTTTAATTTTGTGTTCTTTGGCCAATGTACACCATTGGAGCAGATGCACTTTGTATAGAGTAAAGGCTCTAACCTCTGCTCCTTCGACTGATTGTTCTAATTTCTCACAAATATTTCTATTAAAAAAAAGTGGACCTTTGGCCTAGCTCAACCTCAAAAGCTAGCTCATATGGTGAGAGAAAACCATAAAATGAGACATCAACCATAGATTAAGAGATGTTTATTCCCTAGAATCAGTATTGTACCATATTGTAACCTAGTAACTAGTATAAATTCTCAACCAAACTTATGGGAATAATCAAACTTTTCCAATCACTTCTTAATCTTTTCCCTAATTTCTCACCCCTTGTAGAGTTTTCAGATGGTATATCTGTCTTACATCTGGGAGTTAGTGCAACAAAGCACACATCAAAATAAAATAAACATAACTCCATAAGCAACAATTTGGATTTTTTTTCCTTTTTGGTTCAGTTATCCCTGTAACATCATGTAAACAATGCATTGTTAATTCCAAATGGTCCCAGCCCTTAGCGGTGAACAATGATCAACACTGTTAAGATTCAAATGATCCCCCATCCCACCCCAAGCCTGGAAAATAATAAAAAAGAGAAATATGACGGCCCTAGATCATTACAAGAACAAGATCCTACAATAGTCCAATAGCTAAAAAGGGACGTTACAGCACTAAGCTTGTCAAGAGTCCAGCATGGTATTAATAGTCTAAATTAACCACACCCAAAGAGAAAGAAAAGTTTAGAACACTTGAACAACTATGAGTATCTAATTATCTATCCTTGCACTCCCTTTAAATCAATAGCTGCCTTAAGGTGAAATACATATATATACTACTTCTAATTCCTAAAAGCAATATTTTATACACAAAAAAACACCCAGACCAGAGAAACAAGGTAGTAATATAGTGGAGCTATCATAACATTTTTCACCAAATAATACACATCAGACTTGTGCATTTGTATTGCAATTATTATACACAAGCTGCAAGGCAAGTATTATTCGAACACACAGGAAGAAGTTGTGCTTGGACATTTGTATTCCAGTTACAAGTTGTATGGCAAGTATTAAAATGCAGTGCTATGAAAGTAAGGCAAAAGGATATATTAATATTTAACTTCATGCATCACAGACACATTGTATAGCCAGGAAATAAAGAAACAGTTCGGTCCGCATGTTATGGTTAATGGAAATTTCTTTGACGAAAGGGGAATACTTACCGCTCAAAAAGCCTTTCAATTGTCTGGAATTGCTTTTCTGATGATAGAATTGTTTCTCTCACACTAATGAGACTACTGACATAGGATTTCAGAGACTCAAAGTCTGTCTTAACACGACAAAGCTCCTGCTCATTTTCTGCAGCTCTCTGCCTCTGTCTAGAAGTTTCTTCAACCAAATCTTCAACTCTCTGCCGCATCTCAGTCAGGATAAGATTTGTACCCAGAGCAAATCTTTCCATTTCCTCTAACTTAATAGACATGTTTTCAATCAGGAGCGTCTTCCTTTTAATCTCTTCTTCACCTACTGTTACCTTGTCTTTCTCTATAGCAGTTTCAGATTCCGCCATTATAATCCTCTTGACAAGACTTTCCATAACATCTGTAACCAATTGTACACTTCTGAGTAATTCACTCATATAAGATCCATCTTGTTCATCAAGTTGACCATGTTTACTCGAAAGTCTAATCCATAATTCATCATCAGCATCATCAAAAGATGGGAGATCAACATCCCTAGTCCAACTGGATAATGGTATGTCATTTTTATCAACAATACCCACTCCATCTAGTTCTTTGATGCCGCATGAGGAATGGGCCAAATCTGGAACAACCACGACTCTGGCTTTAGCTTTCAAATACGTCATCAATGTTGTAGCAGTTCTTACTCTATGCCATAGAACATCTAACTCCTTCTTTGTATCTTCTTCTGATCCCTGAATAGAAGCTTTTACCTCCAACAGTTTTGCTTGCAAAGCATCCACTTGGGACTGGCTTTTCTCCATCTCTAGCTTCCAAGTAACGTCTGTTTGAGTCAATTGGGATTTCAAAGCTGAGAGATCAATATGTCCCTCCCCCGCCATCACCTTATCAAGTCACTGATGTGAGTTCAGGAACCTATAAAATTAAATGTTTTAGGAACATTGGGTTTTAGTAACTAGTAGAAGACAGTTGGTCAAATGAACCACATGGGAATCATATCAAAACTTTAACTTTAATAACCACCCTGCAGTTCTCGACCTTCGGGTAAAAAAGGTCAATTGAATACAAATTCTTCTACGGTGATTTTATTCACTTTCATTCAAGCAGAATATTCAGATTAAAAAAGTTAAGCTGCACTCATTTAAAACTTGTTGAGGAATTCCCATGACATCACAGGATAAAGCATAATAAATCCACCATGTTCTTTGCAATGCCCCAGGAATTAGTCTAATTCATTCACAATACACCACAAGGACAGCATTTCCAGATAAAGTTTATTAAGAACATTATAAAGTCATACAAATTCGTGGCGAACTGTGCTTTCGCAAGGCTATAAAAGTACAAAACAAACTGGCAGGAAGTTTAGACATCGCTCTACTGATTACATCCATATTAATCCAAAACCCAACTGTCAAAAAGCCTTCTTTGACGAATCAAGATCATAAAAATCCAAGAAAGAGAAACCCCATTATCTGTTCCTCCCCCTCCTAGAAAAAAACAAAGAAAATAAAACACCCATGTAAAAGAATTAGAATTTCAGACCAAGAATGGGACAATTTTCCCGCATAAATTATACCAAAATCATAGGATTAAACCCTTCTTATCAACACCCATCAAATTCCGATCAACATTCAAAGAATTGGAACGAAAAGAAATACAAAATCAAGGTAATTTGTTAATCTAAACAACTTTGCACAGTTATAAAAGGGAAACAGGATTTCGGAGGAAGACAAAGTAAGCAGAACCAAAAATTACAATTTGTGAAGATAAATAAAAGGAGGCACCTCGCAAAATTGAAGGTAATTTTGAGTGTTGATGATGATAATGCTTCAACACGTATAGTCTCATGGAAAATTATCAATGAAAATTTCCATTACGAACCAATTTGGTAAAGGCAGTTTCTTGCTTTTTGTTGTCTCTACCTTTTCCTTGTCCAGTTTCCTTAAAAAATTATATAGTGGGACCTTTAGGTGTTTTGTTTAGTCCATAAAATGATGAACCACCAAATGGATCGAGGATAAAATGACATAAAAAATGTTTATGGTTGTGTGTCATGTTCAATTTTATCTTTTTTTTTATATACCAAATGATGTTGTCTTAAAAGATTATTTAGGAACTCGTTTGCTTCCCTGGACAACCCATTTTTTAAAATTGGGAATGAAGACAAATATATTTCCGAACTATCATAAATGATATGCAAATATCCTTCGTCATATTTTTGAGACTAGTTCGGAGATATATTTATCATTTTTCCCTTTAAAATTTAAAACTTGCTCATAGAACTGTACCTTTTCATTGGAAATTACAATTCAGAGCAAAAATAGTTGCTCATAGAATTACATCTATATTAGTTTTAGGCCTTAGTTTTATGAGGAAGATAACATAAAGTGTATAAGAATATTACTCATAAGACTATATCTTGTTCAAAATTTTACAAACAAATGTCAGTGTAGAGTTGGTTGTACTATCGGTTATTGAAAGGCATGTGTTGATCATTACCCATACTGAATGAAATTGGTAATCTAGAAAATAAGATAAGTAATTTTAATTATATTAAATTGCATTGACATTGTAAAAGTTTCATTACATTAACAGTGAGTATAAATTAGTAAATCCTTGTTAATATATCATTGGTCATAGCTCAGTTAGACAAGAATGAAATTTAGGGCATAACATTACATGCAGATCATAGTACCTGCTTCAAATTAAATACTATAACTGTGCCCGGATGAAATGGCTTTTGTTTTTATTTCAAATATTTACATAGGAAACACCCAATGCATGGACAAATATAGATGCCTCCAATTGCATACCTAGGTTGAAGGATGTTAGGAATGTACATTTTGACAACTTCTTTACTTTGATCGAGTAATCGCTCTTAGGGACATATCTATCACGATACATTTCTTTATATATAATATATATACATGATTCGAGCCAAAGCTATTGACCCTGTCCAGATAGAGTATAGTTTAGGCCACCAGCCTGGTGAGGGCAGGCTGTCTGAATTCTGATGACAGGTTAAGGCAAGGCCTGCTTAGTTAACAGGGAGAAAACAGTGATGGAGTTGAGTTTTCAGTTTTTCACAAATGACTCTACTTGTGAAGAAGAGGTGATAAGGCCTGAGATGAGTCCTACAATGAGGGCACTGTTGTAGGTAGTTGGTTCACTTTGCGAAATGTTGTTACGAGAGTCCATGTATGTATCACTAAGGGATGGTCCCCCAACAAGAGCTCCAACTGCAACATTTGGATTAGGGTGTCTTGTGTGAAGCCATTTGAAGCCATCACTGCAATTAGAATTAGCATTTACTGGAATTGAAGCACCTCTATGGTGAACTTGCTGAGGATATCTACTTCCATAACCAACAAGGTAGCTCATTTCCATTGGATTGTTTCCCAAGATATAATCCAACTGAAAACAAAATAAGAAGTTCGTTGTGATATAGAAGTTCGATGGCCTTGAGGTGTAATGCATTCAGAGTTAAAAAAACAAAAATACTGCTTAAGAGCATATCAAGAAAGAAGCAAATACATAAGACAAAAGTTTATTCAAGAGAAATTATTTAAAAGATGTTCTTCTTAGCCCTTTAGTCTGTTCAACGGACCATTTCATCTACACAGAAAATCAGACTCTGGAGTCATATGTGTTGCTCAACTGAAACTACTAAAAGGATGTTAATGACATGTTCAATTGGCCGTGCATACATTAGTACATACCTGTGAAACTGCAAAGTTGCGCAATTCTGTTGGTTCATATAACTTCCCACTGCAATATAAATTTGATGTTTGGGAGCTAAGCATGTAATCACTGTAAACCACTGCCAGAAATGAAGAGGCCACAGAATACTGGAATGGATTCCACTGGTTCACCCATACCAGGCCATCTGCCACAAAATTATAGTTTTATTGCAGCAACTTTTCTTTCTAAAAAGAAAAACATCATAATTATACAATGACTTGCTGACATGTTTTTCTTTATTTAGAAGGGATCTAAATATGGATGGGCCAAATTTGCTGACAGGGTCACAATTTCATCACAATACCTGCTGTTCTTTGAGAGGTTGCCGTTGGGGATTCAGGTAGAAGTCCACACAAGAAGATCTCAGAAGTTTGTCTGTACGACTGGAGGGAAAGACTTTCCTCAGTTGAAATGTCTTCCTTTGAACCAAAGAAATTGACCCTTGATAATAGGACCTGAATCAAAGGTAAAAATCTGCATAGTTGTTAGCTGGAGAAATCTTTCTTCTGAACAATAAAAAAAAGGTCAATACTCAATTTTTGTTTATGAACATGATTTATCAGTATAGAGGTACATGCTTCACCAAATTATGGGCCTTAACCTGTTATAACAAAGCAAAGTAAGCAATCCAAACATAAGCAAGATTTTGTGTTCTTCATAGTATTTCCAAGTATCGTATTTTTCCAACTTCATGCTAATTGCACAAACAGATACTATCAGTTCTAATAGCTAACATCTAAAAGCTAGAATTCTGGAATACATGCAACTTCGTGACATGTATGTGTACAATACCTGAACTCCAGCCAATTTGTTTTCCCAAGAAAACCAAGATGGATTTCCCCAATTAGCAAACGCATTGCCATTTGCAGACACATATGTTAAGTAAGATTTGTCTCCAGTAGCATGATAAAGCCAAGCAGATGCCCACAAGAGTTCATCCAAAAATCCAGTAGAATTATAGAAATCTTGCACTCCGGGTATGCTGATACTATACGAACCTCTATAACTATCAGCAAATTTGAATAACTGTTTGGCATGCTTTAACAGTGTTCCTGAGTAGGCAGAGTCAATTGCCTTGAACACCAAGGATGCAGCTGCCATTGCTGCTGCACTTTCAGCCGCAACATCTGTCCCAGGATACGATGCGTTAACTTGTGTAAGAAGCCTTTTTCCTGTCATTTCCTCAGGTCTTTCCCAGCATGTGTGATCCAGCTTTGGGTCCCCCACCTTTTTTGCAGAAAAAAACACATAAAGACACTTCATTAAGCAACATTTCCCTTTTATCTTAATACTGCAGGCGTTTATGACTTGTGTATATGCTGTGTGCAGCAACAAACTAGAACGTCGTCATTTGCATTGGCTAGAAGGATAAGAAAACACATTCTCAGCAGTCAGAAAACCAGTTACAGGAGGCCTTGTTTAGGAAGTTGGAAGTAGAAAACAAAATGGAAGTTCTACATGATTATAGTGCAAAGGAAGGAACAACAATTTCGCAAAGGAAATATCACAGGAAGTTCCAAATTAGTACTGAGGAAAAACTGAAAATACTTCTCAATTGTCATAGGGAATTATTCTACCTGAATATACAGGACATTCTCCGAAGGATGAGCATTAATAAGAAAATCAGTGATCCACTTGAGGGATTCATGGGCGTTATCCAGCTCATTCACCATGTTCATGTGGTTTCCATACTCCAAAATAGCCCATGAGAAAACTGTAGCAGTGAATGCCATTGGAAATCCAAACTTCACATGGTCTCCAGCATCATACATTCCTCTACTTAAATCCAAATTCACTTCACTTCCATCTCCCAAAGCCGAATCTCCTCTCCAAGCAATCTTATTATTCACCAATTTTCCAGCTGCAGTTAATGATTCAAAAATCAAAATAAGTACTCCTAAACTTAGGACTAATTAAGTGATCAATGTGAATATAGCTAGTCTTACACTTCTGAACGTCGAAGAATTGCATAGCAATGCTTAGAGCATTTGCATATTTGTCAACCACTTGGTGAGCATTTGCCTCTGAAGAATTAGAACGATGAAAATATTTTCGGAAACTGATTAAAACTGCAGCAAGAACAAGAGCCATGATCACCAGGATCAGCCCCCTCCATACCCATCCTTTATCCTTGTGTGGTTCTTTCTCCATTCAATTTCAATTCTCTTCACCAAAATGTTTCGAATAAAATCAGACCTTCCATTCTTTGAATGAACTAAATTATACTCTTCGTGTGGCCTCATTATATATGCTATTTGAGTATCTTGACAATCACCAAAATACAGTACATAGAGATGAAACCGGCATATCTGAGCTTTGTCTTTATCTGATTCTTGATTTCTCTCCTTCCAACATTTTGGAAGTATTTGGAACTGTAATTAACGAGAATCTTGATGCTTATTCCTCTTCCTAAACTAATAAAACCCTCCCGCTTACGAAAGGTTATTCTTTTTTAATCATATTCCAACTATGCTTGCTCCCTCTTTGTCAAGGAACTAATTGCTTCAACTTTACTCCATAAAAAAGGAATATTAAAAATCAAGTAAAAAAATGCAATATTTAAGTTCTGAAAGAGAATATATCATGGACCATCTTAAATTTTCTTATGTCATTGGGTGTACAAAGAGGTTGACAATTTCAAGTTCAAGAAATAGTATTAAGGGCTTCATGTTTTAGTTATATAGAGATTTCATATGTTATCGGCCATAAAATATATATATCCTCGCATAACTTATGCAAGCATTACCACTGAACTCTTCTTTGATACAGCATCAGGACTAAGAGTACTGTAGTGGTTAAAGGGATAACAAAAACATATAGTATCCAATTATTTGCTTAAATCTAGTAGTACTAATAACTTTCAAGTTACAAAAAATTGGACTAATTAAAGCAAAGAGGGGAAAAATTTCTTCTGATGATCTCAAACTTGAGCTTTCCAGTGGATCAAGGTTTGTCTCCTGTACCTTTAAACATAGATTCAGGAGCAAGAGGAGTAGGAGTATCCAACTGGTAAAGGTCAAATGCAGGACCAACAAATCGAAAAAGTATCCAACCCCCAATTATAATAAAAATAGAAGCATAAGCAAATTTGTTTAGCCAGAACAAAAGTCCTTTTTCTCCAACGTACAATTCAATTGCCTTCTCAGTTAGATTCATTGATTCCCAATCCTTTGGTGGAGGTTTAGGTTTAACAGCTTGTTTCCCTGCATTTATCATTTCTTCTTCCTTCTGCCTTTGTCGTTTTGACGGACGTCTTCTGATTCGAATCTCCACCGTGTTTGGTGGTGTAACGGGTTGCGATTCGTTGCCATTATCACTGCTGCTGCTGCATTTGATGGGAAAACGAACTACATGGCGATGTTGAGATTTGGAGAAAAGTTGTATTGGGAGGGGAGTGAAGTGTTTTGGGTAGCTACAGAGCATGGTTGTGTTCATTTTTCATTTGCTTTCAGGGAATTTTAGTTAAAGCATCACAGTGTGAGGCCAGTATACACACAATACTTTTCATTACCTTATCTTTTTATTTATCCCAACTAAGGAGAGATTCTCTTTTTTTTTCCTTTAATCAGGTTGATGTGTGTCCAGATTATTTTATAAGTTATTTGTATTTTCTTTTTTATAATAAGGGAAATTCATAGTTGGGTGCATATAAAGTAAAATTTCATTCCTATAAGTTATTTGTATTTTTCATCTATATAAATATTGCGTAATTTTGCTCAACAATAAATAAATGTTATTTGGGTACTAATTTCCAACTTTACACGAATCCTTCCACTACCTCCTTTTTATCAAAGTCTTGAAATTGCTTGACTGAATTGTTAGGTTTCTTTTTAATTGTAACCTGTTTTAACTAACTGTAAAATATATATAGAAAATAATATTTTTGAAAGTAATAATCATGAGATATTTTGTTACTATTAAAGGAAGTACTTGTAATTTCTTTTTAAAGTCTCAACTATTAAAAGAATATATATATATATATATATATATATATATTTATTTATTTTTAATGAAAAATAGAACAATGGAATAAGAATTTGTTCCCCATCTCTCTTATAGTTTCTTTTTCTATTAAAAAAGTAAACAAAGATCTTTTTATTTTGGGTAACCTTCATAAACTTTCACTATAGAAAATAAATGGAGTCTGAAGGTGTATTTTGGTAACAAAGGAAAATATTTTTAAAAAAGTAATTTTCAAATTCATTTTTGTTTAGTCTCATCATATTCAACTTAGATTAGCAACTCAAAATTCAAACTCGATTTAAAATAGGCAAAAGTATTCATTACCCTCCTGAACTTGAAGCTTTTTATTCGGTGTACACCTAAATTATATTCCGTTTTAATTACCTCGAACTTGTTTATTCCTCCATCGCGTACACCTTTATTGTCACCTGGCATAGAAATTGACAACACACTCTACTAGGCGCATAAAGAAGTGATTTTTTGTCACATCATAAAGCTACAACGGTAAAAAAACGTAAAATCTCTATTTTTCTTTAATATTTGGCATATTTTAAATGAAAAATAGGGCAAAATGTAAATGAAAAGTAAAGGAAACAAAGATTAACACTTACTTGGTAAGAATTTCAGACAAATTTGAAATTTAATTGACCAACTTCGCGTCTAGAAAAACCCAAATTCAAAAGGAGTTCCGCGAAATCAGCCCTTATTCAAAAATAACTTTTAAAGAATGAGTTTTAAATTTTTAAAAAACTATCCAATGAATAAATGACATGTAGCATTTTACCTAATTGTTTTAACTTTTTTAAAATCTAATTTACAGCACCCTATTCCCTCCCCTGCAACCCATTTTCTTCAAAATACTTTTGCAAAAACAATCCCAATCCCCACCGATTTTTTTAATCCAAAATTAGTTTATTTTATTCCCAACAATAAAAGTCTTGTGCTGGCATTTAATCTGAGTTCTCCAGTACTAAATATTAATTTCTTGAAGATTTTCGGGTTTAGTCCAAAAGTTTTAGTGAGAAACTTAGTTCGAAAGTTTTAGGTGAGAAGGTTTGATATTTATTTTTTGCCATATTAATTTATCTAGGTAACTATTATTTATCCAAGTGGAAATTCACATCATCACTTTTGCCAGCTATCGCGCACATGTAGTCATAATAGGAGTAGGTGGATAAAAAAAATGTATGTGATGAAGGAATAAATAAATTCAAAAATAATTAAAACAAAATATAATTTAAGTGTACACTAAATAAAAAGCTTCAAGTTCAGAAGTAATGAATGTTTTTGCCTTTGAAATATGATACTTCATCGAAACTCAATTCAAAAATCGGAGTTGGGAATGGGTCCCATATGTTTGTTTTTTTTTCTCTTCCAATGTTTCTTTTAAGAGTTTCTCGAATTTCCCTTTTAAGGTGGCTGAACTTTCCCCCTACAAAAATTAAAGCAGTTTTAGTTACATGTGGAGATGGAAAATCATATTTTCTAGTAATGAGGGTATGCTTAGGAAACTTCAACCGCTTAATTTTCTTTTACTTATATGAATTGACAAAACACCCCTCTAAATTTCTTTGGAATTACACCAACATCTTATTCTCAAAGCAACTTAACAATTCGGAAAAATTGAATCATCCACTCGCCTTCAATATACCGAGTTGACTCGTCCGCCATGTCCGACCACCAGCGAACTCGGAAGGACGATCCCTTCCTTCTCAATTACAACTCCGATGAACTCCGTATCGCCTCCGAGTTTCTCTCCAATTGGCTCCCCTTTCTCTCCCGTGACCTTTGCCGCTCCTGCACCCAGACCCTCTCCGATCGCATCCGATCCCTCAATTTTAGTAATTTCTCTTTATCCTTCTCTATCCTTACCTTAATGTGTGTTAATGCATATGTTTGCTATTGATAAACTGTGTAGTTCATATACTGATTTATACTTGCATAAAGTTCACAGCTTTTATGTGCTTTACTCTTTTTGTTGGATGAGGTTTATCTCTAGAGGAAGAGTGTGTTGCTTCAAGTTTGATTATTTGTTGAAATTTTGTAATAAAGATGTTTTTGGACAATTACTTAGTCGTGAAGAACCTACTCTGATTTCTGCTTTTCGGTTTTACTTTAATATTATGAAGGTGTAAAGTTGTTTATTTTGTGAGTTTTCTGATCAGAGACTTTGTTGGTATGATTGCAGAAGTTAGTGGTAATGCAGAATGCTTGAAGCAACCAAAGAATGTGAGTGTTTTGACTTGTGATTCGGATGGATGCAATGGGAGTCAAGAAAATTGTGACAACAATTCGCTTGGAAGTTGGAATGATTACGGTGACTTGAATGATAATGCAGATACAAACTCATTGGGGAGTTGGAAAGATGGGGCTGGTGGGGAGCCCTTTGAGGAGCTTTCTGTGGACAGAAATTCATCTGACAGTTGTATAGATGGCGCAGATTCTCAATCTCAACCTGTTGGAGAGGCATCTACAAGTGAAGCATTCAACTCATCCTTACCTGTGACTACCCCAAAAGTGAAGATGTCATGGGCAGATATGGCTCAGGAGGATGAACTTCAAGCTGAGGAAGTGAATGAGTCAATTGCCTTGAGAAGTCAGGTGAATGGTGTGGCTGAACAGGAAATTACTACTCCGGAGAGTAAGCAAAAAACAGAATTGTCAAGGGAGCAACGAGAGTACATTAGATTCTGTAATGTGAAGAGGAAAAAGGATTTCATATGTTTGGAGAGGGTGAGCGGGAAAATTGTGAATATACTTGATGGATTGGAGCTACATAAGGGTGTCTTTAGCGCCGCTGAGCAAATTAGAATAGTTAAATATGTGGAGAAGCTTGACCAGATGGGGAAGAATGGGGAACTGAAAGGTTTGTTTTACTCTTGATATAGCCCTTAACCATTCTTTTTCCTTTTCTCAAATGGATTTTATTGTCATATTGGGTTTTGCAAAGCATACTTAAAGCAGGCATAGTTTCTTGCTTGATATTGTCTAGCATGTTAATGCTTAAACTTCAAGTGTATTTGAAATTTAAGCAGGTGTTTCTGTGAATTAGAACACTCATTTTTAATCCACTTTGTTGTTGTTAGAATTGAAACATTACAATATTAATGGTGTTCGATGATTGGTACTAACTAGCGTGTTCTCTTTTTTTTATTTCTTATTGATTTCTTTATTTGCTCTTGAGCTCTCTCAATCCTGGCATGCAGTCCTGTCACTGATCAGAGGGCTAAATAATCTGTATTTGTAGCATAGATGTGAGCTTATTTGTCAAATTAATATTTGTTTCCCTGTGAGGTGGTAGGGCTGGCTGAGTTTAACGGAGAAATCACATGGCAAGCTCAAGAAATTCTGATTGATTGCGTGTACATTACACAACTGCTAGTTTTGTAGAATGCGAGATTTACCATTGTTGATTCTGGTTCAGTTTTTCCAACAATTTAGCAATGGAATTAAGCATTTTGATGTTAATATAGTTGTTCATGCCTTAATCTTTATTTTGGCAGATAGTCATCCAATTCCTTTTAGGTTCTATGCTATTTAGATGCTGAAATCTTTCAAGTAGGGCGATTGACATGGAGTTAGTGTATTAGTAACTACAGGAAAAGTAAGAAAATTTTTTTTGGCTTTGCTTGAGAGAGGATCAATCTATTGCATTGGCGTGCTTCTTTTTACCTACCAGTATCTTTCACAATAAGAATCTTATGCAGGAAAACGTACCTATTACTCCTTATTTGAGAGGATATCGAATCATTCAGATTCAACATTAGCTGTCTACTTCTTTCAAGATGCCTTATTTCTCTTTTTCGTCTGTTACTGAGAGCTGCAGTAATGTACGTTGAAGCAAAGCTGCTTTGGGCATCCTAGACTTCAATGTATTGAAATGGGGAATCTTGTCTCAGTAATGTTTATTCTATTTTAGTTTGTTGATGTTGATATCTATATAAGGTGGTACTATGTGGCATGAGAAATCTCTTCTTCCTTTTTTCGTAATTGAAGAAACTTTGTTAAAATGCCTAGTGTTGATGCCAGATGTCTAGATTAATTGCATAGAAATCCAGTAATGTGGAAACTTACCTTTATTATTGCATCTTAACTAAAAGAAAAGAGTCCGCTTCTACCATGGTAACTCTTGGAGTCCCACATTGGTGGGTCAAAGTTTACTTGGTCTCTTTATATGGTCTTGGGCAATCCTCACGTCTTGAGCTTAGCTTTTGAAGTTTTGTTGCGCTCAAGGTCCATTTCTCTAACATGGTATAATAGTCAAGCTCATCAAAATTCATTGTTTATGATGTTGGGTCCCCCGTCTTATATTGTCCATGCTCTGGATGTCCAGTCCTGGGAGTATGGGGTGTATTAGAGTCCCATATTGGCTGGTCAAGAGTTATTTGTTCTCTTTATATGTTCTTGAGCAATCTGCACTTCTTGATCTAGCATTTAAGGTTGAGTTAGGTTCAAGGTCCATGTCTTCAACGGTAAATAACCAATATAACTAGATTTAGCACCAATTTTTTCTTGATTCAACTTAGAAACTGTTCCCTGTTGAAAACATTAACAAAGATATCATAGAATTTTGTTGAGTATGGTATAGGAAAGACTAAGTTGCAAAAATAAAGGTTTAGGCATAACTATGAGTTTTCAGTTGAAAAAAATGTGCAATTAGTTTTACAAGATGCGCATTTTGTCCATTTGGCTAATTTGTCGTTTTCTGTTAGAATGACACGGGCACCTTCCCTTTTTGAAGATTCCTGAAGTAGTTCACGGACCTTTCTTTAAAAATCTTCTACCCTAATTCAGTAATTTACCCTAGTTTTGTGTCAATTTGTCTTCCTTGTGAATCACTCATGAATTAGTTCGATCTGTTATTGTTTTTCCTTTAAATTTGTAAGTTGTAACAACAGGATTTTTTTTTCTTTGAGCTTCCCCTCCTTAAATTTCTCTTTTAAATTTGTTTGTTAAGTTATTTCTGTCAATTTTAGTTATCTTATGGTTCTTACCTGCCTATGGTGATTGTTTAGAGAGGACTTATACTACACCAACAAAGTGGATGAGGGGCAAAGGACGTGTGACAATCCAATTTGGCTGTTGTTACAACTATGCACCAGTAAGCATTTTACAATCTTATCTTTTATCCCTCCTTCTCCACACAGAACCGAGTGCCTTAAATTTTGTGTTATTATTAGGTGACAATTCTGTAACAAAGATCCCTCCTCCAAATCCCCAGTTCAGTTGACAACCTTCTTCTATGATAGGGATGTGGCATATGGGTTAATCACAGATGGCATAATGACTGAATTTTCTTTATGGCAGGATAAGAGTGGCAATCCCCCAGGGATCCTCAAAAGTGGAACTGTTGATCCATTGCCTGATCTTTTGAAGGTCATGATTAGAAGGCTTGTAAGGTGGCATGTGATGCCTTCAACTTGTGTTCCAGACAGCTGTATTATCAACATTTACGAAGAAGGCGATTGCATACCACCACATATTGACAATCATGATTTTGTGCGCCCATTTTGTACTGTTTCATTCCTTAGCGAGTGCAACATTGTGTTCGGATCCAACTTGAAAATAGTGGGTCCTGGTGAATTTGCTGGTGCGATTGCAATACCGTTGCCAGTGGGGTAAGTGAGCGTGTTCGTCTTATCATAAGTTGTGAAATTAGGAAGATTGACCATTAATGGCATTACATTACAGATCTGTACTTGTCTTGAATGGAAATGGAGCTGATGTAGCTAAACACTGTGTGCCAGCTGTGCCTACTAAGAGGTAGGTACAAACTGAATGTTCAGAAGTCTCTAGCTAGTCATAGATAAATCTTCTGTTCCGTTGTGTAACATGCTAACATCTTGCTAATCCTTACCTCACATAGGATTTCAATCACATTTAGAAGAATGGATGAATCTAAAAGGCCAACTGGATATGTTCCCGAGCATGATTTACATGGGTTGCAGCCCTTGTCATATGAAGCAGACTCGCAAAAGAAATCAAGCTCCTCTAGGCCAAGGTTTTCCTCAAGAAAACAGTCAGTGAGACAAGAAGAGGAGAGCATGGAAAGAGTAAAGATGCCAATGAGAAGGCATTCGGAGCCCCGTTATCCAGGTCGATATCGACGAGGACCTGCAAACAGGCAGTGGTATGAAAATTGAAGGCACATTCTGACTTGTGTATATTGATCAATCGTCATCTGCTAAAATTATCAACGTTGTTGGTATTTGGGTCCCCTCTCCTCTCCTTGTCGAGTTGGTGAAGCATTAAAATTGTTGGAGATTGCTTGTTTGCTACTCCATTTGATGGATATCTTCTAATATAGAAGCTTAATCCTCCCGCTCTTTGATCTGCATTCGCAATATCGCAAACCAAGGAGGAACATTCAAGTGGAGAAGAGTGATCTAGAGCTTGTAGCTCTGATATTGTAATATGTATGGTCTTCCAATTTGCGGTGGGTTATAATGACGTGAGGCAGCTATCAAATAATTACTCGTCAGATTGGATAAACTCTACTCAAATAATACTCCTCTTGAGGAATGCCCATCCGTGTGTATTTTTTAAGCTTACACGATGTATAATTCATGTCATTGGTTACACATTTAATTATTTGCCCACAAGCTTTGGTCCTAAGGGTCGTATTGTTAATGTATGTTTTCAAGTTAAGTTGTCTTAACTGAGAGTTTTTTTTTTTTTTTTTTCTACTTCATGGAATATTTACGGCTACTTGTGAATTCCTATACTTTAAAATAGGAGAAAGAGGGATTTCCAGAGATGAAATAATTCATTTGTCAACTATTGTTGTGACTTGTAATACTCTTTCTAAAATATGCTAGTTTTATTTCAAAAAAGTTTTTTTATGTCTAAATTTACGCTGAGTCAAATTAAACAAAGGAATGAATAAATTCACTGGGTTAGGAGAGAAAAAACGAGAACCCATAATTACTAGTGTGAAAAGCATTTTATTTTCACTTTCCTTTCTTACCATTAAGCTGTCAATTAATTTTATCTTTATTTAATTTTCTAATACAAATACATGGTCTACAAAAAAGCTTGAATTCGTCCGAACCCACGAGCCCCCACCTAGCTCCGCCTCTGGAAATAATACTCAGCAATGTCACCAAATGTATAACAAGGTTGAAACGCCCATTTGTATAGACAACTTGGCTATGGCACGTTCATTTTTATTTCACCACAAAACATCTCACCAAAAAATGATTAACATATAATGAGTCAGGTAAACATGATTAATATGCTTATTTTAATTTTTTTATATTTATTTTGAATCTCAGTTCCAAACTGCTTTCTAATGTAATTGTAAGTAAAATTATGATATGAGCCACAAATTTATCTGAAGACCAGTACAAACAGAAGTGCATCCAAAATTCTCTCTCATTAGTTACGTGATTTGTACGTACATGTAATCCTTTATATGTAAACAAAATAAAATTACAATCCTTCATTTTCATCTTTTCTTATTATCAATTTATTCATTCTTTTACATCGATCGATCGATCGATCGGTAAGGTCATGTCAATTGAAAAAAATAACAACAGCTTGGAAAAGAAAGATGAGACATCATCATACTACAACTACTGGTTCCAATTTATGTGTCTGGTAATCATAAGCAGTTTTGCATTATATTCATACAAAAAAAGTTTGGATTACCAAATGAAGATGAGAAATTTAAAAGAAGATCCCTTTTCCGACCAAATATGTTTACTTACAATCTGCTTTGGGTCACTAGGTTTAGCTATTCTTACTTGGCCTTGTATGGTAAATCGAACAAATTCCCCACTTAATAGTCTTCTAGATAGAACAATGTTTCTCACTATAGACATTTTTCTTTTGCTTTTTCTTGTTTTTGCCTTGGTGTATGTCTTTTGCTCGGTTCTTATTCATGACATCAATTATTGATGACTCCTAAATAGATGCTTTAATTTTATTTGTCGATTTTGGAAATTTTGTTTTAGATATACAAAATTGAGTATTGAATTTCAAATGAGACGATTCCGTTATATATAATTCTTGGACTAGATCTTTTGTTTTTTTATTCATTAGTCCCGTTTGGCCATGCGATATGAAATCATGATATGATATAAAGAGATGAAGTTGAAGTTTTGTTTGGACATGCGATATGAAATTTTTGTGTTGTATATTTTCTCATTAGCATAAGAATCTCATATGTTGTAAAACTCTTCAATATAGCCCCAATTGTTTATTCAATAAAATTTATAAAATCGCATAATAAATTATTACAAAACTATTTGTTCTCCACTTAATTAATTGTTTCATCTAACTTTAATTGATCAAATTTTAATTCAATAAAAAAATTGAACATAATTAAATTGTAGTGTACTAGTCTTTAATATAATCCTCCCACATAGTACGGACAATCTTTTCACGTTGAACTTGCATATCTCGATCATATGACCAAGAAGACGAACCAACATTGTTACTTTGAGCCATTTTTTGGTCAATATCATTTGCAACTATATTTTCATGCTCATAGACCATAAATAGTTCATCACCCTTTGGTATTCTTGCAAATTACTATGTAACATTATACAAGTTATGACAATTTTCACTTGTGTGTCAATATCATATGGTTCATGCCTTGTTACACTTGTGTGCAATTACACATTTTCAGTGCATTAAATTTCATGCTAAAATCAAACATATTGAAAGTAGTGATTATCAAATATACATGACCAATTTTGTTCTTTTTTTCATATTAAATTGCTTTAAACATTTTCATATGTAGGAGAAAGAGAAGTTTTTTATTATGGAAAACCAAAAAAGTATTACTCCCTCTGTTCTTATTTATATTCACCAAAATAATTCCTACTTTATCATTTATATTCACCAAATTTAAAGCAATAATAAATTTTATATTGGTGAGTATAATAAATTTTAAAAAGTAATTATGTGATTATTAATTTTATTTACATATGAAATAAATGGTTAGTATATATAAATGTGGGATTGTTTTAACAAAACATAAACTTGCGGGTTAATTGTATTTAAAAAATCTCAAATCATGATTTTTGAAGAATATGGAATCATGAGATGGAATCAGCGTGAAATCGCATGTCCAAACGCTGATTTCATCTCACAATTCCATATCATGATATGGTATCGCATGGCCAAACGCTTACTTAATGTTACATCATTTTGTAAATTTTTGCTGGAAGAAATAAGTTGCACATCTAGGGTGTGTTTGGTATGGAGGAAAACATTTTCTGAAAAATGTTTCCCAAATCAACTCATTTTCTGGAAAATATTTTCCAAATCAACTCATTGTTTCCTTAAATTTAAGGAAAATGACTTCCCTTCCAAAATTAAGAAAAACATTTTCCAAAACTCTACTTCATCCTTAATTTTTTTTCTTACCCTACTCATACCCCGTACCAGACCTCCCCCCCATTAAAAAAAAAAGTTAAATTTTTTAAATTTCAAATATATTTTTATCCCTACCACCAAACTAGCCCCCCCTCCCCCCGCCCCCTCAAACAAAAAAAATAGAAAATTATTTTTGAAAAATATTTCAAATTTTAAGATTTGTTTACCTCACCCAACCCATACTCCCTACCCCCAAAAAATTGCTTTTGAATTTTTATTTTTTTTATGCCACTCCTCCCGCCACCCCTCTCTCCCGTCACGCCCGCCAAATTTTTAAAAAAAATTATTTTTGATTACTTAAGTTCCAAAAAAATGATGCTTTTATTCTAAAGATGTCTAAGGCTGATTTGAGATCGAATCGAACCGAGATAAGGGTTTAAACTTGTTAATGTTTGTTTTGTTTTGTTTTGATTAAAAGATTTCAAATAATTTTAATTAATTAATAAAAGAGAATCTCAATATCAATGATTAATAGTTAAGTTGTCTCACCAGTGGCATAGAAGTAAAAATAATACAATTAGAAATATATAAATTGCGTAAAACAGATTTGGGGTAAGGTATAATAATTCTTGTTATTATTTGAGGATATTTGGCTCTCATTGTTACAATTATTTTGATGTTTAGCATTTATTCTCAAAAATCTTAAACAACAGAACATGAAGTAAACCTAAACTTTTAACTATCCACAAAATTGTACCAAGAGAAAAAATATTCCCAAACGAAAAATCAATCTAGTCTTCAATGAGCACAACGTACGAAAGGAAATGAAAAAATGACATATGAACTATTCATATTTATCGAATGAAACACATATAAGGGAAAATTGTATGAAATAGGAAACTATTAATTCAAATTAAATGTTATAGCCATAGTTTATTTTAATTGTAATTTGCAGCAAACATCCCCTTCGATCTGATTCGGTATACAATTAGTCATTTTATACATTTCAGTATAAAATGTATAAAATGGTTTGTGTTTGTATAAAGCGAAAGAAAAGTGTATATACAAATACAAATACATATATTTTTGTTCTATACATTTATAATTATATAAATATAGATTTTATCATACAAATTACAATGTATAAATAAATTTATACAAAACTGAACAATTTGTATAAAATTGGATGTTTGTAGCAAATTATACAAATCAAAAGTTTCATAGCAAACATAAAATTTGATATGGAACGCAATTATGCAAACTGTAGCTATAACATACAAATATGTTTTTTGTGTTTGCTATATGTGAAAGTTGATCTCTTTTTATTTTCTTGTTTGTTAAAAGTCTAATAATAATAATAATAATAATAATAATAATAATAATAATAATAATAATAATAATACATAGTTGTTCATATGATGCATAAAGATAGTTTCGACACTACAAGTTTGTTTTCCCTTACTTTTTATTTTTTACTTAGAAGCTATCGTTTAAATCAATTCAGGCCTCTTATTTTTTTAAAAAAAATAATTCACGTAATACTTTTTGTGTTGAATCAAATCAACACTTAATTTTTTTTTAATTGTATAGTCAATTCAGGCCTCTTATTTTTAAGTCCTTTAGTTTTTTATTTTTATATGTATAGTTTTAAATTAGGGCAAATTACAAAAATCACATACTTTTAAGGGAAAATTATAATCTATCCCTTAAAAGTTTATAATTACAGAAATCCCTCAAAACAGATACAATAATATAAGCGCTGATTCATTAATCTGATGCGCAAGATACATTAATCGTTAAGTAAGATGCAATTACATTTTATACATGATACACTAATCTGATGTACATTTTATACATGATACACTATCTGATGCGCGAGATACACTAATCTGATGCGCGAGATACACCAATTAATCTGATGTACATTTTATACATGATACACTATCTGATGCGCGAGATACACTAATCTGATGCGCGAAAATGAGGGATTTTGAAGATTTGTAAAACTTATAGGGGATAATGGTACTAAGTAAACTAAAAGGTGAGATTTCTGCAATTTTTCCTTTAAATTATTATTTTTTTAGATTTTGTTTGTTTGTTATTTTAATATAGTATTTTTTAACTATTTTTTTTATCACTTTATGTAATAGTTTTGACTACTAATTGAAGTATTTTATTTTTTATCTTCGTTGAAACATATACCGCGTGAAACTTGTACAGTGTTGATTTAATTCAACACTGTAAAAATAAATCACGCGAAAAAGTATTGATTTGATTCAACACAAAAAGTATTACGTGAATTTTTTTTTAAAAAAAAATAAGAGGCCTGAATTA